GACGCGGGCAAGGCCGGGGCGCACGCGCTGGAGCCGCACTACCGGCCCCCGGGCGGCGGCTACGAGCCCAAGAAAGGTAGGCAGTGCGGGCCTCGCGGGGTACTCACCACGTAGCCAGAGCCCCCTGAAAGCCTGGGCGGGGGGTGGGGGGTACCGAGAAGCCGGGCAGCCGGGGGTGAGCAGACCGCAGTCGGGGAGGGCAGACCGCCGGCCGCGAGGCGGCCCGTCCCTAGGCCTACCCTGTTATTATTTACTCGTTAGTTAATTTAGTGTTAAGAACGTCATCGTGACTCTGTGGTGTTGGCACATCGCCACCAAAGACAAACCAGAGCCTGTGTCCCTCCCTCCGGGTGGCGGTGCGTGAGCCCAGGCCGCCGGGTCCCTCCTGTGCCCAGGCACCCTTCAGCGTAGCAAATGAAAGCTTCCCCCCTCCCCCCGTTCTTTATTGGCCTCCAAGGCTCCTAATGCGGGGGACAGACAGGTGACTGGAAGCCCAAAGTGAGAGAGCCTGGGATCATAACCCAGAGTGCCTCTCTTGTCGGTGGCAGCGGTGACCCTTGTGTGTCCTGCGCCTGGGAGCTGGGTGGCCATGGGTCGCGGGCCCGATCTCACTCACTGCCCCTTCCCCGACAGAGACCAGCGAGGGCTGTGCGGTGGTTGGCGCAGGCGTCCAGCCCTACCTATAGAATGACCCAGCTCAGCCGTGCAAGTAAGTGGGCATCTGTGCTCCGCGGTGCGCCGCCCTGGTGTGCCGCGCAGCTGGTTGGCTTGTGCCTCAGGCCTCTGGGGAAGATCTGTTATGTGCTATAGACTGTATGTGTGTGTGTGATACATTTGTGACATATACATGTATGTGTATATATGTCACCAGCGCTCTTTGGGAAAATAGATGATTAAAATGTGGCATTCATTTGTTACTTGGAATGGTTTTTTCGCTGCTAAACACACACGAGAAACTTGGCTTGATGAGTGAGCTATAGAAAACTTGGATGTGGAAATCCTTTTTGTGTATTGCTTTCAGAGTCTTCCTGGGCCTGTCCTCTCCCCTCCCAGTACCCCCCCTGTCCAGATGGGCTTGCAGAAGCCTGGACAGCAGTACCTTAACTCATTCCTGTGTGGTCAGAGCTCATAGCATTCACAAGCTTTATAGATCATGATAATGACAATTTGCCTTGTGAAGGTTAAAATGTGTTTGTGACTTTAAGCATCGCTATTCCACAATAGTGTGAAATACGTGAAATTTATGTAATCACCTAATTTCAATTAAAAAATGTTTAAAAAATAACTTGTTCCACTATTAACCCCAGATCAGAGATGGTAAAGAGGTAGAACCATTTGAGATCCATTCGGGTTTTCTTTTGGTTTTGGCTTTTTTTTTTTTTAATCTGGTGGGCGTTGGTGTAGAAATGAAGGATTTACAATGATTTGGTCTTTTCCTTGGTCCACAGGTAGGTGTCACAATTGCTTTGGAAAATCAAAGTCAGGAGGCCATTCTGTCTTCCTAAGCTCATAAATGCAAAGATATATATATATAAATATATTATATCGATCTATCTATATCTATATATATATAAGGCAGATCTCTAAATCCGGACCACATCTGTGCCACTGTAAAAGAGAAGGACCGGTTCGGCACTGTCAACCCTCAGACTCTGACGGACTGGACACAGTGCTGGTGACAGCCCTGAACCTGTTGGCGTAGTGTAGCTTCCCTGATGTTTGTGTGACTTTTGGAAACAATCTGTTTTCTCTCAGGATATCTTGATCACTTCACAGCCACGGTCTATAGTCTATAGGTGTGATAGGATTTACTGTAAAAAAATTATTTGTAAAAGATGTACACAGTAGAAATAAAACGTGATTGAAGAACTTGAGTACTTCAGGCGTGGAAACAAATTTGATATTTATTTTTATAATGATATAGAGCTTCTAGTAATTTATGCAAGTTCTATTGCAATGCGATCTAAACTTTTTGTAAATAAATTCTGCCTGGTTTTTATTTGACCATTGCTGGTTATACAATCTTTGTTGGTTGTTTAACATGAATTCTTTACTAATTTATATCTTAAATTGTAAATAAAAACAGACTAGATTACAATCCTCAGGTGTTCCGGGCTCTTTATTCCTGAATGATGTGGGTCCGGAGCCCTGGGGACGGTAGCCTCCAGGTAATGAGTTCACCTGTTTAATGAAAAGCTGACCCTGTGAAGTCCTCTCTCCTTTATGCTCTCAGAGAAAAGCAGATGGGGGAGAAATACACAGTGGGAAGACTGAATTGGTTCTAGATTATTTATATATAAATGTATTACAAGAACATAAAGAATTATGTGCTCTGAATATGCAAATTCCATGCTAGTGTAAATTTCTAAAACGTGGAAAAAATAAAATGATATGACACCCCTATGTATTTTATATTTATTTTGTGATGCTGGCTCATTGACTGTCCTCAGCAAACTAGATGGAAAAGCACAATAGTATTGATAACAGGGAGTTAAACTCCTCACAAGAAGTTACTGATGGAAATAATTGTCTTCAGAGGCCCAAATTATCTAAATTGGTGTAGATCAGTCTCTTTTACACAGCCCCTGTAAATACATGGGGTGGGGGAGAGTCTTCTCCGTGGCAATTACCTTTGCTTAGCCCGCGGGGAAAGAAAAGTTTAAGCAGCCCTGGCTGATTGTCTCTTTATTATCTCCTCCCTTCCTAATTATAGGACAAGTCTAAAATCTGCAGCCAAGTAACCCAGCCCCTGTCACTTCTGCCTTCCGAGGAATTATGTGGGCATCCATATAATATAATTTCAGGAAAGAAATGAACAATCATTTATTTCCTCTCCAAAGATAAATTGAGTGAATATAACTTAGGGTTATAAAACAAGAATAATGGCTTCTTAGATTGCCCTTTAATCAATCATACACTTATTTTTCAAGAGGTTCACCTCTTTTACTCCGTGATTAATAACTCGGTGCCAGGAAAGCATTACTGAGTCCCGGCAGGGGGCTGGTCTCCAGCGCGAGCTGCCTTGGAATGGTCAGTTGGGGTTCATTATGGGCTGCGATTGAACGATTTATAAAATCTTGTCTAAACATCTGCCACTCGGATAGGCTGATGTGTCTGAGGATGGGAAATTGCTGGACCAGTTGATATTGACAAACAGATCTCTCTGGTGCCTTTTTGTGTCATAGAAATATGTGGCTTCTTGCTGGGGTCTCCTTAGAAAGGGTATTTGAACGTAATCTTAGCTACTTGAAGCAAAGCCAGGGGACTCTTAAATGGACAGGCTGCCCCTGTGGAGGGTCGACTGTGGGGGTGTCTGTGGAAAGAAGAGGCAGACTGCTGTTGGGGATTTTCTTGGTAGTACTTGTGATTTTGTTTTAAATATGTGCACATTGAAGATTAAATGGAAAGTAAGTTGCTGGGGTGGAATGGCAGTGGAACTGTTGGGAGCCGAGCTGTCTGTAGACAATAGTGAAGATTTTCCATGGAGTTGGGGGCCTCCCCACCACAAGTGGGGGGGGGGTGGAGGGGCACAGTGAGCTTGGATGTTCTTTTGGTTTCTGGTGAACAAACTTCGTAGGATTTTCACAATGATGATTTTTTTCCTTTCCCAGAAGTAGTTTTTACATTATAATATGAAGGTATTCACGAAGTTTGCTCTATTATTAATCATAATCCCCCCCATGCTAGCAGGAGATAAAGTGCACTGGGCAGCAACATCTCAGTAACGCACTAGCTGCAGTATTTGAGAACTTGAATGAAAAGTAAGGAAGTTAGCGCTCAGGGACAGATCTGCCCTAATGAAGATACAGCCTTGAAGGCAAAAGTCTGGCTCCTGGGCAGAAAATCCAGGCTCCGATGGGTCTCTGAGTGATCATGTCCGGAAACGGAAGCCAGGTTGATGGTGGGGCTGGGCAGGGGGTGGTCAGTGGTATGACCCCCTCCTGGGCCCTGTCCCTGTTGGCGGCAGCCTGCCCCCTTCCCGGGACCCCCTGCTCCACCCAAAGCAGCTCAAGGAGATTAGCCCAAGCTAATGAAGCTTCTTTGATGTTTATATGCCTAACAAATTATCAACGATTTCCTAACTTACCCACCCACCTCCTGACCTGAATTTCTTCCTTTCTGGAAACCTGGTTTTTAAATATTCACTACCAACAGAAAACCTGCAGGTGCTAAAAGGGATCGTTTACAACGTAATACAGTGTTTGAGCTTTTCTCTATGCAGGTCTTTGAGAAATAGGAGGGGAGGAAGAGGGAGAAAAAGGAGAGGGGGGGAAGGAGGGGAGAGGGAGGGAGGGGGAAACCTTTCTGTCGGCAGCTCAGGGACTTTTGCAGTTGCTGAGATTGGGAGGCAGACGAATTGGACCCTCGTGGGGTTCGGCCCTAGGGGCTCGGGTTCCCTGCGATCGCGCCCTGCTGCTGGGCCCAGAGTCTGTTGGCCCGTCGGTCTGTCCGGTGGGGACAGACCCCCGCCCTCCTGTTTATCGCGTTAACCTCAGGTGGGCCGCAGGCCGCGGGTGGGCGCGGGTCAGGGGCGCGTTCGCCTGGCCCCCCCGCGCCGTCCAATGTCAACATTTGTTCCGAATAACAGAGTTATTGTTTCTGCCAGGCTGCCCAGCAACTGCCGCGGAAACTTGAAAAGAACTTGGTCCACCTTTGTCTGGTGCGAGGCGGGAGAGGCGCGGAGCCCCCCGCGCGCGGGGGCTGCGGGGGCAGCGCCCGGCCGCACTGCGCC